TATATGGTTATTCTCCACTCTCCACTTAGTAGTATCGTCCTAAATTCTTTGCTTGTTTCCAATTTTGTTAATTTTTCACACATTTTTTCTAAATGCAACTTTTTTTTGGTATGTTGTTGGTGCAAGGATGAATCCATAAGTTTAATAACCTGTTCAGAAATCTGCCCTAACCGAATCGAAAGACATCATAAAAGATGACGCTCGAGCTGAAGAACTCGAGCAACTCAAGCAAGCAAATGAGCTGAAACGAATGAAGCAGGTTTGAGAATCGCTGTTGCAATTACAACACCCATTGTCACATTTCTTTAACGAACAGTATACTGCTAGTAATGTAAAGCATCACTTGCGTCATCTGCAGGCAATTTTAACGATCAAATGACTTGCGTGGGCAGCGACATTGTGTTCATTTACAATTGCCCGTTGGACTTTGCTCAGTCGAAGAAAACACAAAGCATTACACTTGGTCATCTATTTTCATCATTTATGATGAAAGACTGACACTAATAGCTCATTGATATCTCTGAGAACTCGTATAGGAAATTGGTTATACCCAAACGCAACCAGTAGTGTTCTCAAATGAGTCGGTTTTCATGAGCTGCTCAGTTAAACAAATGCTTTAGTTCAAATTCACGTGGATAATGCCAGCAAATAGGCACATCTATGCTCGTGTTTGTGTCTGAGATTATATGCGTATGAAAAGTGCAACTAAGTGCGACACAGCAAAGAGTGAGAGAGTATCTTATGAAACCACAATCGTCTCAGCAAAAGTGATATGTCACTTTCAGTCCCATATGAAACCACTAAGGGCCTCGTGAGCTCTTATTGTTAAGCCTGTGTTTATGTCGTCATGTGGCTGAGGCAATCGGATTCTAGTAATAAAAAAGGAAGCTAAAGAAAAGGAAAAATCTCCAATCGACTGTCGTTTTATTCACGTGTAACAGAAGAGGAACTGGACACACATACGCACTTTTACTTTGTCGTCAAGTTACTCTTACTTAAGTAACGCAAATGTTTAAGCGCGTAGCAGAATATACCTAGAGGAACAACAAGGAATATTACTGTTGCTTTGCAGTTTACGAAAGAAGATTGAAACACGAAGAGTATTTTAACCAAAAACAGAAGTTTGAGAGTAAATATCAAAAAAGAAGATATTCTTCGATCTTGTTTAATTGTTTTTCAGGAGTTTGAAGAAGGTAAGGTGCCCAGCACAGCTGCTGAAGAACTGCAGCATGCCAAAGCTGCTATTGCAGAAGAGCGCCAGAAGCTCACCGAGATCGGGAAGGTTGGTTTGTTTCTATACAATACTGTTCGTAATAATAAACTGCTGTATTTGTTCCATATATACAAAGTATATTCACGAAGAACGGAATGTTTTCGTGTGTCCCATTCACGCTGAACAGAGGTTTGCGAAACTCCGGACCGCAGGTGCATGCGGTGGGGAACGAACACGCGCTGCGCACTTCACCACCACACCATCCGGATCCTTCGTTTTGCCTGTCTCTTAGCTAGTTCTGAAGAATGAAAGATCACTTAGCGTTATTTAACCCGCTGTCGAAAGGAGAATGCCAACAATATCCCGTTTCACGCAAGCGAAGGAGAGAGGATCCGAGGCTCCGACCTACCTCAACGGTCAAAAATTAATGATGCCGTTCTACACGCCAAACTATCGAAGATACGGTGGGCCGCACACGAAATGCGTATGAACGATAACCGATGGACAGAAATCCGTAGTGCACGAATTCCTAGGGATTTAAAGTGCACAGCAAGAAAACCATCTCCCCATGGTCGAAGTCATTCACAATAAAACTAGAAGAAATATTGGATGCTCAACGGGTTTCTAGAGAGAGCAGAACTTACTGGGTTGCTGTTATACACGTCAAGAAGAAATGGTAGGTTCATTGGCATCCACTCTTTCCGACGACGAACAGGCCAAGATGTGATAGAGGTGATTGTAATGAAGAGTCTTTATGCGGCTGGTGTTTCTCAATAATGCGCAGCTCATTCAATTGAACGTGCCAAAGACGAAGATTGATGTTGCTTTGTGTGAAACTGTCACACGCTGTCACACTATCAAATCCCTTGTTCATGCCATACAAGGGCAACATTACTGCCACTTGTCTACAGCGCAACAGTTCAGACGAGTTTTGCTGGAACTCTTCTTGTTTCATAAAAACTTAGACCTCAGCCTGCTCCTGCTGTCGAATACACTTCGTCTTCGCATTTTAGATTTGTACTTTTATAAGGGCTTCTTATGATGTAGAGGGTAGGTAGTGCGGAGTAATTGAGTAAGTTCGTCATGAGCCCTGTGCCTACCCTCCCTGCCCGGGACTCTATAAGCTTCTCATTCCAACAGAGTGGGGAATATAACTCATATGAAATGCTAAGATATTTGCAAAACTCCGGACCACAGGTGTATGCAGTGGGGAACGAACACGCGCTGTTGTCCTTACCAGGGAGCAGCGCACTTCACCACTACACCAT